TTAAATAGTAACTTATATGGCCTAGACCCCATACAACGGCCCTTGTGTCCCCTGACGAACCGGATCCCAAATTCAGTTGCGATAGATAGGACACTTGACACTGATGTGATGGCAATTTTTCAATAAACACCCAAGAAACTAAACACAGCCTATATAATGTTCTGGTAAGGTCCACCATGCAAAGTCAAAAGCTGCCACAACCCACAAGAAAGCCAACCCAAACGGGCACTGAGCTGAACATTTAGATAATAAATTGGCTCAGCTACTTTGAGGCACTCTGAACAGAAGTCACATCAGCGCTTCATATGCACATCTCAGTGTGTATTGGGAGCATCTCTCGCTTGTCATCGGGCCAATACACGTTGGATGTGTTGTCGGGAGCTGATGTGAATTCCTTTGAATAAGTTATCTCAAGAGATTAAATGGATAGCCCAAGAAGTGATTGACTTGTTTGGAAAAGCTTTCATATACAGCGGCTTCTAGTGTTGAAAGTAGACCTGTTCATGGGCCGGGTGGCCCGACGGGTTATCCCGGCCCGGCCTACCCCCAGACGGGCTTGAACAGGCTTTTTGGCCCGTGGGCTTAACCTCGGGCCAAAAAGTCCAGCCCGCATAAAATTCGAGTCGGGTTCGGGCTTTGCCAAAATAGCCCGGCCCGAGCTATAGTTAAACCTAAGTAAAAACCCTATGTGATGTCTATTTGAATAAATTTTTTGATTTAAGAAGGTTGTTGATTCACTTGTAGGCCCATTGTTTATTTAAATAGGGGAAAAAACATCTGAATTAAAATAGATAATGTTCATTTGAATAGGGAAAAATTCGAATTTCTTTTATTAGGTCGGGCTTCGGGCTCGGGCTTTTTATCAGGGCCGGGCTCGGGCCCAAGTTGTAGGCCCGTTGGTCGGGCCGGGCTCGGGCTTGGGCCTAACATTTTTTTGTTAATAAAGAGTAAAAGCCCAGCCCATGAACAGGTCTAATTGGAAGGTAGGCTATGTTCAACGTTTTTAAAATTGGATCGGACTAGATGGCCGGACTAGAAAAACCAAGCATTTCACCCCAAAACTATTTTTTGGCAACAAACTGTTGATTTGGTCAGCGAACACTAACCTAAGCGGTCGAACTGTTGAACTACCAACCCAGACAATGGTTTTGGCTGTTTTTAATTTTTTTTTTTTTTTGTCTAAGCCAATAATCCATTAGACTGGATGATCGGACCATTCGACTCAAGAACCGGATCCAGAATGGTTCCTTGCCCCTGTCCAGTTTTAAAAATATTGGACATATTTGATGACAAACTTAGAAAGTCAAAGATAAGTTTACATGAGCTGAGAAATTAACTTTGTAATGAAACTATTTTCAGTAGTTCCTCAAAAAGCCGTTCAGTCAATGCAACTCAATTGATGCTGAAGCCCTCCCAAACAGGCCTTGACTGAACAGCTGATTTGGGTTATATGGATTTTTCATCTACAATAACTCAAAGGCTACCTAGTTAAGACTCACCTTGGAAAGCTGGAAGAGCCAGAAGCCGCTATGTTTCAATCCCTCCCAGATGATGGTTGGGCTATGTGAATCATGCTAGCAGACAAAAGGTCAGGTTAGGTTGAACATTTGCCAATTTAAGCAATCTGAATTTAACCCTTTGGCTTTAGACAGACAGTAACTGCCTATTTGGATGGGCATTTGTGCAGCAGCTTCAGCCCTTCCAACTTGTCCTTATTGTTGGTCCAAAAGTTGGCTTAGATAAGATCAATATTCCGGTGAAACTCACATAACTTCTCTGAAACAGCTCATTCAAGGCAGAAGCCCTCTCAAACTGGCTAACCCATGATCCCTTAACCCCTTGTGCATATACATATAGATTGGAAGGATCCCGCTTCTCAAATTTGATACAAGAAGCGGGAACAACGACAGCAATCATCGTCACTGGTCGCTGCCAAACAAGAGGCGAGGCGTGGATAAAAAATTAAAGGCGAAACCCACATATTTTACTCACATTTTAGGATGGATAGTGCTTTTGAGCCGTTTCCAAACCCAGCTGCCCAGGTCCAGAAAATGTATTCAGGGATGGCAATTTCTATCCTATCCGGTGAGTATCACCCTTTATCCTCTCTGATGGGACAGGTTTTTTACTTAAATGATGAATTTTGGGGTGGATACGGAGTGTTAGGATTTTACAATCCGGTAGGGTATAATATTATGTTAAATTTGACCCTCTCTAACTCACATATTGTTAGAATTCATATACATTTTATGTACTATGTATTGAATTTAATAATATTTTAAATTTTATGTGAAGGATAATTGATAATTTATGTATTTTTTAATTTTTTTAATTAAATAATTAGAAATCTTGATGTTTATTTTTATTATTTTATTTATTTATTGTTTATATATGACAAGAAATAAATAGGAAATTAGATGCGAGTTTTAAACCCAACTTGCCCCTACCCTTGAATGTGGAAAATATAGGGTTGGAGAGGATTTTAGGATTTGGATTTGAAAAATCCTAACTCACTACGGTTTTGAGACGAGTACAAGTAGGGGTGCAAGTCAAACGGGTTGGGCCAGTTTTATGGTCAATCCGGGCCTAGCCCTAAAATTTGGGCTTAAGGCCCGAGCCAGAGGTCAAGCCCGATTTTCCCAACTCGATCCCAGGCTGCCCCTATAATTTGATGCACTCGGGTTGGGCTCGGGCCTAAGTCGGGCTCAAGTTAGTCAATGAACACACTCTAAAATTATACATATATAAATGTATTTATAAAAATATATATACATATATTTATGTATGTATGTAAATATGTATTCAAAATAAATATGTATGTAACATTTACATATATACACATATATATGTATAAATGTATATAATTGGGTCGAGCTCAGGTCAGGTTGGGCTACCTAAGGGCTAGGCCCAAACCCAACCTGAAAAATAGAAAAAAAAAAAATTGACTTCTTGGGCCCAAGCCCAGCCCGAGGACCAAAATTCTAAATCCAGCCCATGTAAAATTTTAGGTTGGGTCACTTCAAGCTCGGGCTGGGCCTACCCAAATTGCACCACTAAGTACAAGTCAAAAAAATTAGGAAGATAGATAAAATCTAGAATTTATAAAACCAGACGTCAGAATTCCTAACATCCAATGTAAATGAATGATGGATGGACACAATGTACAAATCCAATTTGCATGTTGCAACGAGACATGTTCATGGGCCGGGCCGGGCTTTTACTCTTCATAAACATGATTTTGTTAGGGCTGGCCCGACCAATGGGCCTACAACATGGGCCCAAGCCCGACTCTAATAAAAAGCCTGAAGCCCGACCTAACAAAAGAAAGTATTCATCGCCGGTGACTGTGTTCGCCGGTGTTGAGTTTGTGTTAGAGAGAGAGAGGATTCATCGATGCCTGTGTTCGCCGCCTCACCGGTGCCTGAATTCGCATCTGAGATTCTGAGAGAGAAGAAGTGAGAAGAGGAACGAGAGAGAGAGAGAGGACTTGACGTTGTCGTCGGTGCCTGAGTTCACGTATGAGATTCTAACTTTCTAGACGAAGTGAGAAGATGAGAGAGAAAGGACTCACTGCCGGTCCACGAGAATTCACTGGTTGCGTCGGTGACTGTTCGCTAGTTCTATCTGCCTGAGAGTGTGAGGTTGCATCGATGAGTTTTCCACTATTGAGATGAGAGGTTCAGCTAGAAAGAGAAGAATGAGAAGAGAGAGTTTAGAAACTTAGGATATTTAGGGTTTTTTATTTAACTTAAAAGTCGGATTGGGCTTTTTTAACAAATCCCAAACTCGACCAGTAAAATAATCAGGCTTGGGCTTTTAGGCCCAAGGTCAAGCCCATGGGATCAAATCTGTGTTCAAGCATGTCTGGGAGTCGGGCCGGCCCATCGGGCTACCCGGCCCATAAACAGATCTACTTACAACTAGAAGACAAAACGATCGGGTCCAGATTATAGGAATTCGGCAATAGGCTGAATCCGGATCTCCTGCATTTCCTTTCGGTAAATGACGGGTGTTTCATTAAAGGGCATAATTTAATAATGAGACACGTGTCAAATATTTAATGAAAGTACATGATTAAACTGCAGCAAAAGAAGTGCATGAGATACCTCGATACCGCACTTTGGAAAGAAATGGACTCTACTTTCAGCCCAATCCTAGTCCTTAGATAGAAATAGTTCGGCTGCTAAGACCAAGGGCGAGGGAGAGCGACTCAGATGAGATGAGACTGGTGAGTTTTCCACGTAGAAGATGAGGAAGTCCACGAGGTTGCCACGTGGACTGATCCTAGAGATTGGAGCACAAGCCACTCTAATGGACCGAGAATGGGAGCCTACGCTACGCCTACGCGGTGATCCTATTCAAGAGCCTTCTAGACTCCTCTACCTGGGCCCTGGGCAAACACAGTCCTTATCTCCTATAACACAATGGTTGTGGGTTTTCAAATCAAGTTCAAGGCGGTGGACTGGTTTATGTTTATCTGTTGAATGTTCTAAGTTGGGCACCTCCCCCTAAACTAGAAATGAACACCCCAACTTACTAACCCTTTCCACACTTAAGTGCCCATTTTAGTTTCTTTCACATGGGGATCAATAGTCCATGGGCCATGCTGGTAATAGAGAAGGCCAGCCCATCAATTCTTCACTCCATCTTAACCAATGAAAAGAAAATCAGATGAAAACAACAATTATAGCCATATGATTCAATCTGTCTGTTCACCCCCCCATCCCCCCATGCCGTTCATCATACGGTCCACATCTTGGATATGGTATTGAACACATTTCGTTCCTGGTTTCATGGGCTTAATACCCATCAATTCATTGTGTATGGGCCTAAACATGGGCCCTTTTTTGAGAAGAAAACGAGAACGAGAAGACCCACTAAGCGCCAGCTGCGCCACCCCCACGGTATTGACAATTTACCAAAATTAAGGGGTCGTAGTGCAAAACTCTTAAATTAATTGACTGCGTGTTTTGACTTCTGATTTTTCTTGCATCCTTCGTGTTTTTATAAGAACGTGGGCCTTTTCACTTCCAATTCCCGAGAGCTCCAGTTTTGGCAGAGCTTGAGATCAGAAGAAGGAATTGATAAAAAGACGTGTGTTGTTTTGAGATTAGCATCGCGACTCGCAAAGTCGAAGAATTCTATCGTCCAAGAACACGAAGTGATTTTATAATTCTTTTGATCGAGGTACTTTTCGTTTAATTTGGTTCAGGCGATGATATAGCGGAGTGCGGAGTGAAATCTTCTAGGTTTTTCATTTGGTTCAAATCTTTTCAAATTTGTTCATAATTCGGAGGTTTGGATTCGGTTGGGTTGGATGGCGTTTGCTTGAATTCGGTCGCCCTTTAGACGTATTGAATTGAATTTGGTTTTTAGGGGGTACTGTTGATTGATATCAAGGTTAGGGTTTTGCATCAGTTTGGGTTTTTGGAAGACATTGTAAATATGAAAATCAAGCAATTAGACGACGACGTCGAGTCTGATAACAAGGACAGTGTTTCCCCAAAACAGATAGTTCGAGTAGACGCAAAGAGAGCGTTGGTCGGAGCTGGGGCTCGAATTCTCTTCTACCCGACTCTTCTGTATAACGTTTTCCGGAACAAGATTCAAGCAGAATTCCGATGGTGGGACGAGGTTGATCAGGTACTCTCTTTCTTTCTTAATTCTATGTCTCTGTATATTCCAGCACTGTTTTTGGTTGAATGGGCGCTCCTATTGCAGTGCAAATCCATCATAATCCTTTTTCCACTTTCATTAAAAGATATACAGAAGGAAGTGGCGCACGGGTTGAAGTTGTCTATTCAATTAAGGTTTCATATCCTTATATGGGCTGAGTTGCATATAAGGAAAGGAAAAGCATGATCTTTCATATGTGACTGTCCAATTCTTCATTCATTATGATGTTGGGTATTTGTTAAGATTCTTCTGTCACTTGTCCAGGAAAAAAAACAATGAAAGTTTCATTTGATTTGCATTTTTTCTTGTGCTCTCTTGTAATTATGAATCACTGTTATTTCCAAATGAACATGTTTAATTGGCTTGTTTGTATCTTTATTTTCAGTTTCTTTTGCTGGGTGCTGTTCCATTTCCCAAAGACGTTCCTCGGCTAAAGCAGCTTGGTGTTGGAGGTGTTATTACCCTCAATGAACCGTATGAGACTTTGGTTTCAACGTCCCTGTACCATGTCAGTAATTTCTATACGTTATGTTCACTTGTTACTCTCTTTTAAATGTTGAATTATTGTGGGATGTCGTCACATACATTTTCCCCCCTCTTTTTGGGTAGACACAATTAACTTATCTGAATTGTTTATGGTAGAAATAAAAGGCATATGCAATTATGCATTAAGCAACTTATTGAATAATTTGTGGAAGCTAGCTTGCATTTATTGGAAATTCAATTTATGTTTTCTTTCCCCTTTCCTTCTGTTGTAATTATTTGTTCTATGTGCCTTAGGTGAAACATAAATTGGCTTATAAGAACACCCAAAAGTATTTTGTATAAATATTAAAAAAAAAGTTCAACATTCATTCCCATCCTAAGGATTCATTTCATTCTGATTGATCTTTTACAATAAATGAAATGAAAATGCCAGTATTAATCCAGCATTTCACATGAGAGTTCCCTAATGCACAACATCTTTGGCACATCTAATATCTGGGAGATTGGGAAGAACATTGGATCAGTCCTACGGTCCTACCAATAACCAAAGTCCAAAGCAACCCCAAATAAGAGGCAAAATAATAATTATAAAATAAAGTATTGCTTTCCTTGACAGGGTACAAAAGTATGCACTCTTCAGGTCCTGTTTTGTGGGTTCACCTTTTCTCTTTTATGGTTTTCAGGCTCATGGAATCGATCACCTTGTCATCCCCACAAGAGACTACCTCTTTGCTCCTTCATTTGCTGATATAAGCCGAGCTGTAGATTTCATTCATAGTGAGTGACTTTCTCTGACACAATGTTTGGTGTTTCCTTTTCTGCCAATTTATGTTTTTTCCTCTGTAAATAATGCTGCATCAGTATAAGTAAAATTCTTGCTCTAGACCTAGATTTCATTTTTATCTGGGTAATGGAAACCAGCAGTGATACCATCAACTTACTCCCCCCCGCCCCAAAAAAATAATAATAAAATAAAATAAAATAAAATAAGGTGTTGGATTCACCAGAAACAGGGCACGTTGTTTGGGTGTTGTTTTTTCCTTTTCCTTTCTTTCTTCTTCTCTCTTCATCTATCTCTTCATATGCCCCTACCAACAGGAGCGTGGTAAAGGTTGATGAGCTTTCTTGGGTTGGTTTTCGTATGTGACATGGCTTTGATTTCAATTCAAGGACTAAAAGATGATTGAGGACTTTGACCCAAATAATCAATATAGGGGTTGGATAATGGTGTTGGCTTAATGCTGATTTTTAAGATACTGGTACTGAACAAGAGGTCTCTATTTTATGTTTTCTAGAGAATGCATCATGTGGGCGAACCACTTATGTCCATTGTAAAGCTGGGCGTGGCAGGAGCACAACCATTGTCCTCTGCTATTTGGTAACATTTTCTAATATTGCATTTGAAACTTCAATAAATTGTGGGAACTTTTTTACATATTATCCTTGGATGTTTGGTTAGATGATACACTGCTCAGGATCCCCTGACCTCTTCAGAGTACATTCTGGTCTTCCAAAATGAGCTATTGAATATAGGATAACTGTGCCCCTATTGTTTCTGGTTAATTTCTATTTCTCTATGACTTCAGTTTTCATATTGTCCATCCAAAACTAGTTTTTGGTTAATATACATACCCCCTTACGTTATGTAGTTGTTTTCATCTCTGCCCTGAAACAGAAAGGTAGATCTATTATCATTGCTTCAAGATTTCAAATGGCCAAAATATCTTTAAATGTAATGATATTACTTGATGGAGGTTGATTATTTCTTATCCTGTATTTTTATGTTCATGTCCCCTGTATTATGGATTTTTTTATATCATCGAAGAAGAAAGTCAACCACTTGGCCTACCATCATTCCTTTAAGATTTCAGAAGTGCCAAAATATCTTTAGTTACTTCATATAAAATTACAGCAATATAACTTGATTAGGTTATTTTAATCGTTTGCAATATAAAAAAAAATCACAATAAAGGGTATAACATGGCATGTATAAGCTGACAACATGGTCGCATAAATGCGCTTAAAAAGTAAAAAAGCAAAGGCAAATACAAAATCACCAAAACATAAGGGCATAGGTGCGAAAAAAAAAACCTGAAAATGGTGTTGTTATGCTTTCTTCATTGGCATTCAATTAATCTTGTGATTTGTATCATTGTTTAGGTGGAATATAAGCACATGACACCTGCTGCAGCTCTGGAATATGTACGATCTAGAAGACCTCGAGTACTATTAGCTCGTTCGCAATGGAAGGTATGCAAGAAAGGCTCTTTATTATATATTAATTATGCTTTGCTAAAATCTGTTCTCAATGATTAAGTTCTCCTTCTCCTATGCCATTCTGTCACATATTGAGATCAAAACGATAATGCCAAGCAAGATTTATAACCTTGCTTCTGTTATTGTTAATTATGCAAAAAGTGTTTTCTTCCCTTACCTAACAAATCTTGTGATGCTGACTGACTGTAAATTCTTCAGGTTGCTTAGAGTAATATTACCTTGACATGTTGTTGCCTGCTGGTATAAACTTGATTTTGCCTATTGAAGGGGGATTGGAATAAACCTGCTTCCAGGGAGAATAGATTGGGTTTTCCACTCAGATGGTCAGACCCTCATAATGGTCAAAGTTTTATCCAGTAAAATGTTGTACCTTCACTTGCCTATCTTTGTAGGACCAGATTTTGTCTTCTATTCTTTAGAAAAAAGAATGGTTGGCAATCAGATACTAAATTGTCTTTGCTTACTGCTTTAGCCTTTCTTCTGTTTAAAGCTGTTTGCTAACAGCATTAGTCAGCTCATGGCCCTAGCTTCTTTATCTGTGCTAAATGCAGGCAGTCCAGGACTATCAAAAGCACCATCCAGATGTTTCTGCATACTCTCCCTCAGGGGATGAAGTTATCATAACAAAGGCGGATCTTGAAGGTTATCATGGCAGCCACAATGATGCTCTGAAGGAGCTGAACAGCGCCCGCAGAACAATTAGAGCCAGGCCCATGATAGCAAAGTTGTCTTGTCTTTTTGCATCATTCAAAGTTTCTGGTGGCACCTCGTCAGTGGCCGGGCGGCTGCCACAGATACGTGCTTGTTAGTTAGGGCCACAAGAAATCGGAGTCCGAGAGTAATATGGCTTTGTACATAAAAGCATTCTGAAAAATAATTTGAGGGTGATATATTTATTCCCCAAGCATGGATTTGGCTGGGATCTGTACTCCAAGTCCACGAGGACAGAGAGACAGCCAGACACCCTCAATGTTGTTTATAATACTGTGCTATGTGCAGGTTCATTTGTACAGAGAACAAGCGCCACTTGTTGTATATTCATCTTAGGGTCAATTGCAAGTAAATTTCTTCTTGTACATACTTATTACTTTTTAGGAAAAGAATCTTTAAGAGAACCTTTGGATTTACATTAATTGTTGTAGACATGATTGCTGATAATTCCTCCGTGATTGAGATCTGAGAGCAGAGGAGTCACTCTGAGGAAGTTTCTCTTAAATGGTACATAACCCAAGTTTCACTCTAGTTGATTATCTCCCACGTCAAAGAAGTTCTAGTGCAACAAAGAAAGACTAAAATAAAGGCAATTTATGGTATAAAAGTGAGTATTTCCGAAATAGGCATCAAGGACCAAATATGCCATAAAGCACAGTGGGGTGATCCTTGTAGCAAAATCTCTTTCTTGGTCGCATTGGTGTATAAGATTTCTTTGTTGAATTGGCTACAAATAGCAAGGTGTACTAATGTCAGGTACGTAACAGGTATTTTTAAAACTTAAATTTCACAAAAGTTAAAAGAAAAAATTAAGTTTTAAATTTTATGTGGAAACATTCTACCAAAGAAAAAGAAAAAAAAAGAAGAATTCATTGAAACATCTTTTTACCATTCAGGGGGTGTTTGCCAATGCCTATGGTTTTGCTTTTCATACAAACATATTTCATCATTCAGCAAAAGTCATATGATTTTGGTGATGGTATCAGTTGCTTTTCGGTTTTGAAAAACAAAATTATTGATCAACATTCCTTTGGCGGAGATTCTTTGATGGGGATGTTTCAGCTTACTTATTCTAAAAAGCAGAGAAAGTTTAAGTACAATATTACATTGATTATCTTGTAAGAGATACATATTATAATATAAGTTGCCATCCCCTCATAAATCAAGAGCAATTCCCCTGTGAGCATGCATGATTGCATTTGCAGATTCGATCAAACATCAATTTACATTCATTTGAATTGTTGACATGTTTGTGTTTCATTAGAGGTCAGGTCACAAGAAAAGGGAGTCGGGAGAGGTAATTTCTCCCAAATCATGCCTCTGAAAATGTTTGATATTTAAATGTGCTCCTCTCTAAGCAATTACCCAATTATATGGTATCAGCCACAAATCAGAACCCCCACAGGAGTTTGCCAAAAGTTTTAATACCAGAAGCTGACCTCACATTACCCTCCACTTTCATTCAACCTAGCTTGGGAGTAGGGACTGCACGCGGTGTAAAATAACCTTACACTGGCAGTGACGCAGAGTTGTCTAATCTAAGACCAAGACCCAAGAGAAAAAGCTCAGCAAAAATCATGTGGGAGATATTTTCACCATTCAACTAATAGACTATTAACTTTTCAATTACTTTCTTCTTCAGGCATTATAATTTTTGAATTACGAATAAATGGTTGGACATGCTTTTTCTTTTTCTTTTGTTCAATTTCTATCTGTACTTTATAAGTTCAGCAGCTAACCACATTGATAATTAATGCTACAGTGATTCAGTTTATGTTCTTTATTTTTATCATGAGTCATGGATCTCTTATATACTATAACTTTTATCTGAAAATTATGCTTTAAGGAAGAAAATTAGCTCAAGGTTCCAATTTTTGACATGATATGCCCATTCTTATCATATCAGTTGGCCACTACCCCAAATAAAGGGAGTTTCAGATTTTCACCAATTTCAAGAGATTAACAGGTTTAAGACCGATCTCACAGAAAAAAAAAATTGAGAAATGTCTTTCATTTGTATAAGTTGATATTATTCCCCGTTGTGTGTTTTCGTCCACTAGATGCAAATCGGATTTTCTGTCCACCATTCTCTACCTACAGTGAATCGCAACCATACATCACCTTCTTGTATTATGGGTGGTGTTTGGCATTGATGTGATTTTTAGAAAACGTTATTATATAGGTGTCATATTAGAAAAAAGTGGTGCTTCAAAAAAACAGCCTCTTATTTGGTATTGTTTTTTAGGAAAAAAAAAAGAAAAAGAAAAAACATTGCTTCAGATCACACCTTGAAAATCAGAAAAGTGTGACTGAAAAAATGGCAAATTCAATGTTTTTTTTTTCAGAAAACAGCCCATTACAACCAAGGGCACAATAATATAATATCATCTTAGATATTGTATAATATGATCAATATTGAAAACGGTTGTACAATACTGATATCAAACAAAATTAATATTATTTTTCTAGAAAACAATCTACATGGCAGTATGGCTTTTAAACAAAAAATAATACAATTCAGACATCCCCAGCACCATTTTCTGTGTTCCCATCATCGAAGGTAGGGTGCGGGTAGAGAAAATGAGTAGGAAATCTGATCACCATTAATATGATAATATGCAAACCAGAATTCCCTCAATCCACATCCGCACTACACATGCTTTATGCAATGTTTGAGCTTCTCCACGGGGAGGAAGCCATTAAAATTTACAACTTCAGTTATGCATCAATTCAACAATTGCTGGGAATAAAGGTAATAGGTTAGACTTTTTGGAGTCACTTTGGACAAGCCATGAAGCTTTTTGGGGCCCAGTGAACGACAGAGGGTAGAGATGAGAGAGAGAGAGAGATGAACAAGTGGGACCCTTTTATTGGCATCAACTATGTTGCCACGTGAGAGGATCCAAGACCCTTTAGATCTCTTGTCCAACCAAACGATTTAGCTAGTAAACCTAACCAGTAACCATGTCAATAGTTTTTTTTTTTATTAAAAAAGAAAAGAAAAAAAAAAATATATATATATATATATATATATATCGAATGATAATGTTTATCCGCGTGCTGCTTCATGATTCCATATATAAAATACCCTAAACTGACAGTCATTGGTGACCAGATGACTCTTAAACATGTGTCAATCGAGGCCCCACAACTCGCCATATGTTCCACATTGGAAGCATCAGGACCCACCATTCCACTTTCTCATCAAATAACTGAACGACTTTTCGATAACCCTGGTCAGTGATTTGGGCACAAGTCCCCCCACCCCCACTCAGTTTTTTAAATAAATATAATGGTCACGTTTGTCAAATACTTCCGATTTTTAATCTCACAAACCAATATTACATATTTTTCCAGGTGATAATTAATTAGATTTATTATATTGTCAAGACTTATTCAGGAATTGAGAATCACAGCAATACTAGAATATAGCAGCAGGTTTGGCCAAGCTGTACACATGAAAATTAAATAGTAGCGTGGTTTATGGTTAGGAACTTGGAGTTGTTTCCAAATTTCAGATGGAATTGTTAGTATTACTTGTTGTAGCCGATACAAAAGTGCAAATCTTGACTGAAACCTGGAAGTGGAATAGCAAATTAAATTAACCAGTTCGAACAAAACAATCAACTGCAGTGCCCAAAAGCTGGATCATATAATTAAATAAATTCCTTGTAAGTTGTAACCCATAGTCTGTCTATACAGGAAGACTAGAGTTGAAGCATGTGCAAACATATATAGCTGAAATTAGTTTCCAGAATGTAATATCTTGAATTTAAGCTCAGACGACTGGTATCGAGCGTATAGGCCAAACCCCAAAGATAGATAGATTGGGGAAAAAGAAGAGAAAGACGATGGGAGGTTTGATGCAATCTGAAAAGCAGCACTTTGTTATAGAATCCAAGAAAAGGTGGCCATGTTGTGATATTCTCCCTCCCACTACACAATATCGTCCTGCAACTTCTTTGTGGGACCAAATCTGTCCATGAGGAAACCCCAACTCTGCTAACAATCCCACTTCAAAAGCATTCGAAATCTTCCATAAAAGCAGAAAGAAATGAATATCAACTTTTTAGGTTGAACAAGACATGTCACTCTTTTTCCTATTACATGTATATTTGGAAGTTGGAAATTGGAAAGAGACATTTCTCTCTCTCTCTCTCTCTAACGTTCTAACGTTCTATTCCATCCCCACATTCCCATGTAATTAAGATTTTCTTTCTTTCCTCCTTTTGATTTGTTTATACTTATTTGAGCTAATACCTAGTCCAAAGCATCAAACATATCTGCATTAGGATTCCCCTAGACAATGTAAAAAGACTCAACTCTCCTCTCTGTCATAGTAATTAATTCAGGTCAAAGATGGGTATGCAGAGTTGATGATCTAAATTAAAGCCGATAGATCGAAGTAGTTGAAAAAAAAAGACTGATCACCTGCTCAAATCTCTGTGGTAGCGTCATCGACTGAGTAATCCGTTTCTCTAGAGCTTACAAGTTACATTAATCCTGTGGATTAATGTGAAGTTGAGCTATATAATTTATAAGTGATGGATGATCGATATTTGATGAGTTGCCTAAACAAGTCAGCGCTCTCAGTCTCAGCGACGCTGAAGATGTTATTAGTCATTTCGAATTATATCCTTGGGATAAAAAGGATGGGGTTGTCCTCTCTTTCCGTGTGTGTACTCTTTATTCCCTTTGGCTCTGGAAACTACTGTGAAGATGCCTCTCCCATGTTGATTTACCTTTCTTTCATGCACGTCCCTTAAAAAGAAAAGTTGTCATGCACGTTCTCTCTCTCTCTCTCGACCTGTGATTGGTCATATTGAGAAAATAGAATCACAATGTACTAGACTAGACATCTTTCCAAGGGATTATAGTATTTGAAGTTTTAAATTTTAAATTCAAGAATGCCCTAAAAACTAAAGATTGTTTTGTTTATGAATAGAAGGCGCATTGGACAGCATTAATTACACCCCTCTGAGCAGCCACCACGTGGAAGATTCCTGTGTCGTTTAGCTAGGTTAACCTCTTTTCGATTCTCCAATCTCTACTATTACCACTACAACTGAAACGAGGGAAAGCAAAAAGCTAGCATATGGAATGGAATAAAGCATCAAAGAGCTTCTCTGTACGTAATAGAAGACAATATAAAATGCTTAAAATGTTAATTCTGTTACGAAAGCTATATAGCGACAATGGAGATGCCCAATCCCCCATGTCCAACATCGATCAACAACAAATTAAATACAAATACCACAGCAAGATAAAATTCTCGTAGCATTCGTCAACATTAGAGCAATATGCATGACTGGCTTTCATCAATCTCAAACAGCAACAGAGAAACAACTACAGTACTCACTAAGTGACGGATGAAAAGCACGCAAGGAAATGGACCAGAACGAAAGAAAAATATACACAAGTGGGGCATCCAATCCTTGATTCGGGGTTTTCTCTTGATAGATTAGGAGAGGTAAGGCTTCAGGGTTTCCTCTTGTCGTAGCAGAAGAGATGAGAGCGAGAGCCACCCCAAATTACGTTAATGCAACGTTTGCTCTAGAGGGTTTGTTCTGAATAATTATTACACCCAGCGCCCTCACTTAGCAGTGCAGTTTTTCTCCATCATCAAAGCTCCAATTCCTTCACAGATGGCCGATCTATGATAATTAATCTGTGAATTGAAGGAGCTATCCAAAGCCTGACCCTGCTCCAGCCACATTCGTGCCACGTCTCGTCTCAGCTGGTTGACAGCTCGATCGAGAGCCCAATTATGGTACTCCACCATATCTCGGTGCACTTCCTCCGGTCTGATCAAACCAGAGACACCCATTAACGCTCTGTCGAGACATTCCCTTCATCAATTGCTCGCCCACTAACTATTTGAATCATTTCATCATGTACATACATACATATATAGAAGCTCATCAGCTTCCACTAGAGATGAAACCAAGTGCTTACATGTAATTGCTTATTATGAGAAAAATATAATACTACATCGATTACACCAACTTATTATCTCTTGTTTTGTTCCATGATCCTAATGATAGTAGTTAGCTGTATGTGCTATTAGAAAACTATTATACAATAATAATAGATCGCTCGCATTAATTCGGGGCTAGGAAATAAAGCCACAAATTAAATTTGTGACATATAGCACTAACATGCACGTTAAGATTGATGATTTGATAGGTATGCTTCCCGTTTGAGAGCTGCTCCGGAGAACTATACATATGTAGTAGGGGTATCAAATGAAAGTTTTCTCATTTGACATCATCTAGCTGGTTATTTGATGGGAATGCTTTCATTGAGTGCCTCATGAGCCCCTGCCTACATTTATTAGCTCAATAACTTAAAAACCATATAAATAATTGTAAATTAACCTTTTTTTTTTTGAGACAACGAATAACAAATTATAACATGGTATATCACATGAGAGTGTTCTCACTTGATCAACACTCATACATTTATTTTCAGGTTTCAGAAAACTGGGCTCTACTTTTAGGTCTGGCAATCGGAATCGGAATTGGAATTAGCAGGAATGGATTCCTATTCTCATTCATTCCCAAGGGAGGGGGAGGGAATGGCCATTCCCTCAAATGGGATAGTTAATGCCATTCCACCAGGATTGGGAATGGGATTCTAATTCCACCCCACCAACCAAATGATTGGAATCGGAATGGGCCAACTTCAAACCCCTTATTCCCACGAACCAAATATATTTCAATAGCACAACTACATACCTGTATATTCATCCAAGTGGAAGATTTTGGTGTCTTACCAACCAATAAGTTAAAAGAAAAAGTGCCTACCCAACAAAAAATAATATAAAGAAAAAGTGTTAATTTGGTGCTTTCAATACATGCTATTTGATCATTCTCTTAATTTTTTTCTACCAAAATGCTCTCTCTCTCTCTCTCTCTCTCAAAGTACACAACAATTAATCTATAACTCAAAGTTGTTTAAGATTTTGTAGTTTAGCACCACTTCCCAGGCAAAGATCCATTCAACATTATATCAAACATATCAGTACCAAATAGTGCGCCATATTTTCTCTATGAATGTGAAAAGATGAGGAGAAAGCGACTCAGCAATGAAATAAACTATGCAACTGGTCTCATTTTTCCAAAAGAGGAAACTTTAGTGGATCCAATTCACATCTGTTTTGGTAGGTAAACAAGAAAAAAAAATAACCTTTCTAACTTCACCTTCTATACTCTACTGGTAAGCATTGACAAGTGACAACCGCAGCAAATAGCCTGTGTCTTTTACACAAATCCTTTCGTTTTACGTATTAAAACAAAATGGAAATGAGAGAGTAACTAAAACCACCCAAAAAACAGAATAATAAGAATAGTGATAAAGACGATCCTGTAATCATGATGGTGATGATTTTCATGCATGATTTAATTGCTTTGGGTCTTTGGTTCTCCTTCTATTGTCAGCTAGAGCAGCCTTCCTTTCTTTCTTTCCCGCTTGCTTGTTCTTTTATTTATTTCCTTTTGTAACATTGATTGTTGTACAGTTTGCTTGGCTCAGTTACGAGCCCTTTGTCCGAAACCCTAGAAAAGAAAGGAAATGAACAAGACCCCATAAGGGTTCTTGGCTGCTTCTTCTTCTTCTTCGAAAGAGCTGCAGGGTTTTAAGTACCGGTGATGATGTCGAGCATCATGTTGTCTGTCAGGATTTTTTTTTTTCTAATTTCCTCTATTTTTGCTGTTACCCATGATGATCCGGGTTGTCAGGGTCTGGCCAGAAGGAGTACTTTAACCATTCTGCCTCTTGTGGGCTTGTGATGGATGACTCCTGCAACCACAATGTATTGGAAGAATGAGATGGGTAGGGTTAGGGTTTAATATATATATATATATATATATATATTTCTGCATAACTACATATAAAAAGTTGTTCCTCTTCTTTTCTCCTTTTCATCTCTTCTTTCTCTTCACAACCAATTTGGCTTTGGTTTTGATATTTTGTTCTTACTAATATTTACATGTACACAACCACATATATGAAATATTTCTCATTATTTCATTTTATTCTTTTCCTAATTGTCAATTATAATTACTAAATAACTTGAGAAAAGCTTCTCTACCTCTTATCTTGCTTATATTTATATTTTTAAACCCAATTATTTTCCTGTTTTGATTAGTAGCGAAGTCTAAAAAGGAACAGCCTGCAAGGGGGGGAAAAGAAAAAGATACAGTGTCTCCTAACTTTTTTGTTGTTCAAAACAAAAATAAAGAATCTGTTTTTATCTTCTTCCAAAACTAACGGGTGTCTGTTTTGCCTTCTGCATTCTTGGTTGAAACTCGTATTTATTTGTTTATCTATATATTAGAAAAGAAGAAGCTAGCAATAGGATAAACAGTTCCTGTTTTCATGTTTTCCTCGATCTAAAGAAAATTCAGGCATTTCCTTCCTTTTAACCTGGCACTTTTGTTAATGAATAATGTACTCTGCAACCCACATAACGAAGAAAAAAGAGAAAAGTTTGCAAGTTTTCTGTTTATATCTTTTCATTTTCTTTGTTATTCTTACATGCTTCTCTTATTTCTTTTTCCAAAGAAAAGTGTTCCATTTTTCTCCTCTATCCAATCTAAAGTACTGGTTTATTGATATTATCCATCTCGGTTGACACTAGGAAGCATGCCTATCAGAATTAAAATACGAAAATGGAAGACTTCCGTTGTCTCTCTCATGATAAAGAAAGAGAAGCTCAGAGCTGAAACTTACTTCTTTGATGTCTGTTGAAGTGCAACCAATCAACATCTCCTCCAACCCAGAAGCAGCCCTTCCACCAAGTTTATGATGTTGATGCTGGTGCTGCTGTTAAATTGATTCAATTAAAAAAGAAGGAAAGAAAGAAAGAAAAGAAAAAAGCACTGATAAATTCAATCAGACCCATTAGTTACTTTGTGCAACTTGTCTAATAATAAAACCAAAAGATTCATTACCGCGTTCGCCTGCCCTAAACACAATTGAGTACCACGAAACCTAGTTGACCCGGTTCATCTGGCCAAAAGTTTTATTATGTTAAATTCTTGGAAAAGAAAAGCTAGTCTTTGCTTAAATACCTGATATTTTTCATTTTGGAGGATTATTGTTGATACATTGTAGGGGTCTTCATCAAGAACAATGGAGGTGTGGAGGGGGGGTGGAGAGATGATGGTAGAGATAGGATGCGAAGGCCTGCTGACATGGAAGGCTGCCATGGTGACCTGATGATGTTGTTGTTGATGTTCATGGGTCACGTCATGCTGTAGTCTCTGGTGATCTTGTTCTTCATGCTCTTCGCACGTGCGGGCTGCTGTGATTTCTCTTGCCTTTGAAGCTTCTATCATTCCTACCTGTAGCAAATAAACCAACATAGTTGATAGCCAGTCAAATTTCCATTCTCGTTATCAATCTTCTACTCTTTCTTTCCTTGGTATCTCTTTCAGTTTAATCCATGTTTTTGCGATTTGCCTTTTAAGTTGATGTAGAGTTAACTTGTTTTATGCGATAATAATAAGCCCGATAGAGTTGAATGGTGTATATTCAAGAATTGGTGCGAGTAAAGCAATCTGAAATCTCTGTACTGTTCTTAGTGTTCATTCGCAAAAGGCACAGTCATCTTAATATCCTTATATTCATGAAATTTTTTTTTTTTTTGTCATTTTCCTCTGATCAATATTCTCTTTTAACTAGGAAGAAGATCTACAGAAATTGTAGGATGGTAAAACATGTTGAATCGATAAACAACGTGATTTACCTCATCAAAGCTCTTCCTGAATGGGGCAAAGCTAAAATGATCAGATTTCATGTGTTCAATATCCATGACACTGTAGCCTGAAATTACAGACCCAGCAGCGGATAGTTCATCTCTCTGAGCACTGACGTCTCTGGAAGAACAGCTCCCACTACCACTGTCTCTCCGGAGAGGCTCATTGCTCCCTTCGCCGGTGGTTGCACTTCGATCTGACCAATTACATTGTCTGGGTTGTGTCTGATAGAATATCTTGGACACAACGAGCTCGCCTTCTTTCTCTTCTTCATGCTGACCCAAGTGGTATTGGTGCATGACCCAGTTGGTTTTTTCAGGTTTCCGATGCTTGCCGAAGTTGGTGTAGAGTACTAGAATTTTCTTGCACCCTTTCTGCTTGCCATTCACCATTACAGGTCTGGTCTTGCCGGTTTTATGCCACCGGGTGTCACCACCTTGCAGATCGCATTCAGTTTGAATTTTCCTTCTCTTTCTTGTTCCGGTGGTGTAGGCCTTGGATGGTCTGTGGAAAAAATGCCGGCTCAAGCCATCTCTTGTAACTCCTGAAAGAAAGGAAGATGCACGAAAGCATCGATCGCCAAAATCAAAATTAGGTTATCTTAGGTATAACAAACTAAATCTAATAATGCATACTTACAAGTAACAATATAATGGAGAAATAAAACAAACATCTTTTATGTTTTAGATCCAGTGGAGTTGGAGAGAAGAGGAAAGGGATATTGACATTGGTTTATTGGTTTTGATGAAAACCTGCAATTCAATATTACTTTAAGCTTCACGAGAGAGAGAGAAGATGGGCAAGAAATTTTCTATCTACTTTCACAAAATCTACAGTGTTCCCATCTACTTAGAGACGACAGAGAGAGATTTTCTATCTACTTTGACAAAACTGGTAAAGTTCCTATCTACCATGAGAAATGGTATCATTAGCAAAACTCAGGAGAGAGAGAGAGAGAGAGATGAAGTGGTAAAAATTCTGACCTGGTAGTTTTTCCGGATGGGTATAGCAAATTCCATCTTCACCTTCAATCGTAGGAATGAACTCATCTATCAGAGGGTGAGATTTAGAGTCCTTCCCTGCAACTTTTGCTTCAAGGTGTTCGATGAGTTCTTGATCTGTTGGATCAAATTTTACTCCTGCCGGAAGACCTAACCAGTCCTGCAAAACCCATTAAATTCAGAAATAAGGAAAAAAATAATAATTTAGAATTCTTTTATATTCTTCTATGCATTTTAGTTGTAGCATGATTCGATGATAACTTGATATTCAGAGGACTGAACTTAAGACAAAATTATAATCACAGTCAAGACCAAGCATAATCCTTGTTCGATTCCTTTTGAGAAATCTTTCACTTCAAGCCAAGAATATTATCATTGAATTCTCCGTACCGGTTTTCGTTCGAGCTTTTGTCCGCACCCAGGACACTGCTTGGATCCACACATTTGATGCTCTTCGAGCTTCGCGTCAATAAGATCAGAGCTGCTGATAGAGCCTATGTGAGTCTTATTCATGGCTCTTTAACATACACTACAGACGTTTTCGCTTCTTCTTCTACTCAACTTGAGATAAAAAGTTGTTACGAAATTCTCATCCTTATGCAAGACTCTGCTCTTCTTCAAGTTCTCCTGATCCAGCTCCCTATAGCTCGAACTCGCCACAAATAGCAAGAAATGAATATCATCTGAATTGAGATTTGATGGTGCAAAGAAGAGAAAAAAAAATGCTTTTTGAGTCGATAGAAACTTCGTAACGGTTTCGAAGATCAGAGAAGTTCAACTCCAGGAAACCAAAAGTCTATCCTTTCTTTTCTGAAATTCAGAGATACATCAAGTGGGAAGTGAGAAGCTGACAAACTTTGAAACACGTCCACTGAGCACATAAACAAAATATATTGAGAGCTTCAATTCTTGTTCGATCAGATTCTATCTAAAACGGGAAATTTAAGAAAACCCACGATAAAGAAGATGAACCCTGTCTATCTGTATTCTGGAATGAATAGAAGAAAAGAGGAAAAAAAGAAAGAAGGGAGCGGAAGAAGGAAATAAGAGAGCGGAGGAAAAGAAGAAACTGTAAATATGGATTGAGATATAAACCCGCTTTAACCATTGAAAACACCAGAATTCCTCCTACTTTAACTGAAGCCAATGAGAAAAAGGAAAAGGTGCTCCCTGAGACAATACCATCTTTAAGTAGAACATGTAAACGAGAGAGAGAGAGAGAGAGAGAGAGAGAGAGAGAGAGAGAGAGAGATTAAGGGGGTGTGAAACTCAGCTGTTTTGTAAAGCGATATAGCCCCCCCCCTCCCCCCCCCACACACACACACCTTTGTTTTGTAGCCTTGACTACAAAAGCAAAAGCAAGAAACAACCTTCACAGCTGTTACTCCGGCACACATTCAAAAGCAGAACAACCCTATCTATCTGTATTATTATTTAAAATTTTCTTCAATATTAAAAATAAGAGACAATTATTAATAAATATATAATAAAAAAGGGTTCAGAGATAATCAGAGTTCATCAAGTTGAAATTTTTATTATTTAGAAGAATGCCCATCTTTGTAATTAATACTTGGGGGAAGCCAAGAAAATTAGCCATCTTTTTTTTAAAAAGAAATATATACTATATATAATGAAAATAAAACGTGTTATTTGTAGAATAAGAAGATTTATCTGTAAGTGAGAGAGAAAGAGAGAGTGTGTGTGTGTAATTTTCTTAAAAATATTAAAAAAAATAGGAAAAAAATATCATAAGAACTCACATGGGGTTCGGGCTGGAGTGCTGAAATCATGATTCTTTTGCCATGAGAGTTGCAGAGAGAGAGAGAGAGAGAGAGAGAGGGATGAGAGAGAGGGAGAGAGAAAATTCTAGGTTTGCTTGAAATACAAGGCAAATGAGCAGTATACTTGATGGACCCCACCACTGCTTCTAATTAAAATTAAAAATATAAAAATACTTACAAAACTTCATCCACAAGCACCGTATGCGTGAAAAAAATATATACATAAAAAAAGCAGTAAAAGGCAACAAAAATTGAAAAAAGCAAAAGCAAAAATTTCTGATTTATCATATTTTTCATTCTTTCCCTGTGTTTTATGTGCGTATGTGGAAGGTGGCGGGGATGGAATGCAATATACATAGAGTATGGTATCATGAATGATCTTTTGTACGTGTAGAATTCCCTGACCACTCCCACTCGCAGTCGCAGGGCCCATGTGGTGCACATGGAACCGTGGGACCACCACTATATGGGTCCCACCTCTTTTTTATTCCAGAAAAAAATAAAATAAAATGACGCAGGGGTCCACCGTCCACGCCGAGTTTCCTACACTGGATGATATGGCAAATCCAGAATATCGTCTACAAGAGATGGAAGATATTTTATCCATCTACCTGAGGAGACCGTCTAGCGACGGAATGTGGACAAGTACCGTCTAGAAACCCTGGTCGGTCTGGTCTCTCTTCTCTTTCAACTTGACAGCCTCGTGATCGTGATCGTGATCGTGAGCGTGAGTAAGAATGTGGTATATGCTTGTGTTGTGTTAAACAAACCAGAGAATCTCTATTATAGACCTAAAAGACCGTCTATTAGCCATAATAGATGTAAATTATATTTATATACAAATGGATGTATTAGAACACTCCGTTTGACTAGGTCAAATCAACGGAATCAGTCAATCAGATTACCAAAACTAACCAATTCAAATGTCTGGACTCCAAAGCGTCTCCGTCCAAAACCGTGAAACCAAATTAATCAGGCTGTTAACTTTTGAGTCATCAGTGATTACCTGCGTTAAGCACAGTGAACCGTCGATTTTTTGGACCTACACGTGCTTCTCCATGTAGTTCGGATTCGAACTACGGAAATTCGGATTCGAATTTGATTAGGCTAGAGTTAAATTTGACTATAATCGAGTTCAAATCTCTATATAAGTTCAATTAGTTATTATAACTTGAACTCTAATAAAGAAAATTTGATTTGAAAGATTGCAAATATATCCATGCATACGATGAAAATATCTATATATAATATAAGAATATACTGTATTATAAATATATATTCATTTGTTAAGCTTTTGAGCTGAATTCAAGCTCATTAAATATTTAATCCAATCATACTCGAATCAAAAAATAGTGTTCAAATCAAACTCAAACTCAAGCTTAATAGTATTTCAGTCAAACCAAACCAAGACATAGAGATGTCTGGCTGGCTTGACTCAACTCGATCGCACCACTGTTCAAGACCCTCTTTGGCTCCCCAAACCTCCCACACCTATACCTTCCCAAAACTTGCATTGGTTGAATAACACACATCCAAATTTTTTGTTATATATTAACAATAAATAAATAAAATAACATAAATAGACATCAAATTCTCAATTATTTGATTGAAACATATAGAAGAGACATAAACCATCAATCGTCATTTACATAAATTTTAAAATATTATTAAATTTAACACATAATATATAAAATTGTATACCTTACAACAACAAAATTAATTATAAACTAATATGAGTTGTAAAATCCCAAAACCCATCCAAAACGGGTAGGGGCAACTATCCACCAAGTAAGGTAGAAATTGCCATCCCTACCGATTGATTACTATATATAAACGTTCGTGTGCAATACTAAGACGTTTGGTCCTTTGTTTAGGATGAACAAGTAATTGCTTGTTTGATGGTGAAAGCTTATCAAATAATCACATCTGAGTTTTATTATTATTATTATTTCTCTGATACTGAGAATGTTGTTTGAAGGAATTTGCATGTTAATTTTGGGATCTTGATTGTCCAACTTACCACATCTTCTTGATTATTCATTCTAATTTTTAATAAAACCAATCTTCATCCTCGTCAAACCATTCCCTCGTAAACCCTTAAACAAATAAATAAATAAAATATGTATATAATTATATATAATTTATAGTTTAGATAAGACATGAATGATGATATAAATATAGAATTTATATTTGTTGCTAAGTGGTTGGGAGAGAATGTATTTGTGAGTGTGTTTCTAGTTGTAATTGGTCACCGGAGCCAATGACCCAATAATTCAAATGGTTACTCTGCATTACTCCAAGAAAGAAGGCGTAGGATGAAATTTATGCAACTATAAGTTCTAAACACCATCTATCAAAAGCCAAAAAAGAAAAAAAAAAAAAAAAAAAAAAAATCTAAAGTCTAAACACAAAGTCAACATGCATCTCCACCAAACACATTTTCTTATGTGTTTTTCAAAAAATAAATAAATAAAGAATGTAACCATTCCTGATTCTTGATGAAAGGGGAATGCTTATAAAATGCATTGATGCCAACACCATCTAAATGTATGAATCCACTTTTGCTGCAATATGATTTTAGTGCAATTGTTGTGGTCCCACCAAGATGTTCAAGGTGGGGCCACAACATTACATCGAAGGCTTTGATTTGTAAATGTGTATGTACAAAGTAACGAGGCTATGTAATTACAATTTTACAATAAAAATAAAGAATTAATTTTATAAAAATATATATATATATATATATATATTTGGTGGGCCGTGGGGGGCCATTTTATTTCCAACTCTTGCACGAATTCACAGAGTAGGATGGCAACTTGCAAGAGGGGGGGTTGTAGGTTTTGAGTGGTGAGTTGGGTACGACTCTCATGCCCGAAATCTGAAGCCAGCCAGAGATTGAGGTGTGGAGGATAATGTTAGGTTTATCTAATTTTGGCTCTGCCTTCTCCCACACTCCACTCTCCCTAAAACTCCATTATTAACATTTTCAATAAATTAAGTAATTTCAATTTATAATCGACTCGATAAGGTTTGCTAATTAAGCTTGAATTGAATTGGATCCAATTAAGACATTTTGGGATTTCAAATCTGGTCCCTACACCAGTACAACCTCAGCCTGGAGTTCAACGACCCAGATTTCCTTTTTTTTTTCTTTTGGTAACCCTAGATTTCCTTCCATGATAAATATAAAATGTATTAAAGAAATCATCAAAATTCCAAAATGACAGACTGGGCTGTCAACAGAGTTCTCCCTATATAAGCAGTATCTGTGCTGGGTTCCTAAAGTGGATGAGTGTTGACAGCTCAAGCCGTCCAATATGGACAGCCAAAGTTTTTCCGTCAACATCAATGTAAAAAATTCAGGGGTAGTGTCTACTGTCTACATTCATTTGGAAAGTTTTTTAAATTCTTGATAAGTTTCCTAATTAGATTTTGATAGTCTTATTTGGTCTCTCTAAAAGAGGTAAATTTGAGGGTCTTTATACTTATAGCCTTGCTTTCCGGTAAGCCACCTTGATGCATTAGGAAGTTGCCCACAGCAAAACTGTTTATGCCATGGTTGGTCCATCATATTCACTAGTTTTTTGCACCTAAATCAGCTATCTATTAGCCTAAACTAGGAGTGCTCAGAAGGACAAGCAATCCCATGAAAGAAACCTGGGTTTTGAGCTGCCAAATCACAGACCATAAGAATTGAATTATTGGTTTCACAGCTATGGCTGCAAGTAAGTGATTTAATCTAGGAAGTCATTTTCGAGATAGATTAGATTCACATGGAACTGGATTTGCCCATTAGGATCTATGGCCATCCATAAAAACCATACAAAGGTAGCATGATTATGATATTACAGTTGATCAAAACAAACCAAAGAATTTGGTTACCAAACTCTGACTCCAGGGCCTCTGCCTCTTCTAGTGCCCACTCTAGTCTCTGGTAGTAATCAGAACAATTCTTCTCCATGTTAGACTTATTCAAGGGACCAGAAAAAGACCAAGAAATTAATTGTTCGATTCCAGGCTTCCAGCAAGGAATTAATTGTTCGTCAAAATATGGTTTCTCTGTAGTTGCTCTCTCAAAATAATTATCTTGCTTAACAAAAATACAACAATAATTAATTCTCAGTGAGGTTTTTCAAAAGATTCAAAAAATTCCACTTCCTTTATAGCAAAAACTTTGTTTTCCGCTCCTTCTAATTACTTATTCTAGGTAAATAGCAAAGAAAAACAATGCTTTTTTCTGGAAAGAATTTTGCTCTCGCATACAAAGTTAGTCCCAGCTTGGGCCTGTAAAGCACTAACTCCTGCAACTCACTAACAAAACAAGCTTAGCTTTCCCCAACTTTTAGCATTCTTGAACATACTTTTGATTCTCACCAATTAATCCAGTAACTAAGATGTTAAAGAAAAGTGGAAACCCGCATTTGCAAGAACGATTCTATGAAGCTTAATTTCATATCTAATCCATCACCGAACTACCAGAAATGTAATGACATGATGCTGGTCTAACCTTACAACTATTTTGATACTCAGTTATCTTCCATGGACATTCTTCTATCAAACATCAATTAGTAGGCAGAACCATTTTAGAATAATGGTTCTAACCTTACAACTATTCTGCCGTTACACTCTGTACAGTGTCAATATCAACTAGCTGCTACTGCTTTTGCAAAATAAATCTATTGTTTTTTCTTAACAAGTAACAACTGGCCCCATCTTTTTTTTTTTAATAATGAGAGCTTCATTACTATTGATAGTTAAAGATTACATGAGAGTTTTTTTTTTTTTTTTGAGTAAATAAAACTTTAATTTGAAGGATTAACAACAGTCGAATCCAGGTTACATAAACGAGATAGATACAATAGAAGATCAAAAGGCAAAGCCTAGGATTTAGCCCACAACCCATAGAAAAGGCATTGGCTACTTGCTAAGAAATGAGCTGCTTGATTTCGACTCCTAGGAATATGAGTCTAGAAGAACTGCAATGAATTCAGAGAAAGCAGCAGATCTTGGAATATCCTAAACCGCCAAAGCTGCAGATATAGACAGACATTCTATTCAACAAAAACTGCTCCATATCCCGACCTTTCATCACATTTGGAGGCACCACCATCCAAAAAAACCTTAGTTGGAGGATCTTGGAGCGTGCTATTGGTATCTTGATCAGCTCTCCTGGCATAATCTGTAGGCATTCCAAATTACATGAGCAGCATGATTTTTGTTAACACCATGGACCACATTGTTACGATTTAACCATATAAGCAAAAGCTGCAAAACAAAAGTAAGAAAGAGATTCACAATGTCTTTGCGGCTGTGAGAGTCTAAGTTCTGAGATAGCACCAATAACCCATAAAGATTTACCAGGGATTAGCCCAGTTCTAATACCCAAACTTGATCCAATCCGAACCAAACAAAGTACGGGTGACTGTTTCAGTTTCAGATTTGCACATAGGGCACCATGGCTCCACACGTATTTTCTTCTTAAATAAGTTATAGTTAACACCGAGGCCATTATGGATAGCCTTCCACGTGAAAGCCTTGATTTTAGGAGCAACTTCTGCAGACCACAAGGCTTTCCAAACTGTTGAGTTTCTGTTAGACTTAGAGCCAGAGCCTGATCCTAAATCAAGGTCTGAATTCCTTTTTGCTAAGTGGTAAGCTGATCTTACCGAAAAGTTCCCATCTTTCTCATAGAACCAGACCAGTTCATCCTCTTGATAAGAGGAGGGAATGTAGATCTGTCTAACTTGAGAGATCACTGAACTAGGGAACCACTGAGACATTAGCTGAAGATTCCAGCTTCTACTTTAAGCATCTATTAACTAAGCCACCAAGTTGCTAGGAGTCAAGGGGATCCATCTATCTTCCCAAATTCTGATGTTTGAGCCTGTACCAACACTCAGACTACCCTTAATAAGAACTTCCCCACCCTTGATCAGACTGCACCAGCCCCAAGACCTCCCATTTTTTACACTTTGCTTTCCATAAACTAGATCTAGGAAAGTATCTGGCTTTCAGATTTTTGCCCATCTGGATTTCAGCTAAGAGTCAAAGTGAGCAGTTACTCTAGCTTTACAAGCCAAATAAGCGAGAATGAGTAGCCTGATTCTTTTCTCTATTTACCAAAAAAAAAAAGTGAAAAGATGTTGGTGCGGTGAACTTATTTAACAGCTCGATAGTCATCAATTGATGAAGGCGCTCTATCCATTTAGTGGGGATGGCTCGGCTCTGCTAGGGTGGCAATTTTTCACCCAACCTGCTGAACCCACCCAACCCACCCAGTATCTAATCCGTTCATTTACTTTGCAGGTTGTGACCCAACCTGCCCATTTAAATGGGTTGGGTTGGGTTGGGTTGTGGATAACTGTTGGGTTAACCATTATAGACATTAGTATTAATTTCTTAGCCTCTTTTTATTTTCTTCATTTGAATTAAATAATTTATAATTAATGCATTAATTTCTATTAATTATTGACTAAATTTAGTTCTGTCTTGAATCAACACACTTCACCCAACATAAATCCAAATCAATTTGACCCAAGTCTGGACCAGTTCAATACGGTCTGACCCGATCCAATATATACCAATCTGGGTCAACTTGAATCCGAAATAGACCTCGAACGGGATGGCTCGGTACTGCTTGCTTTGCTCAATTTGGGTCGTCCGGTCCAACCATTATTCACACAGCCTGGCTTGACCCGGTACAAGCTGACCCAGGTCGACCGAAATCCGAAACGAGTCAGACCGAGTGGGGTCCGAACCCTAAACCGCCCCACTTGCTTTGCCCAATTAGTTCGACCCCAAATCCATGCACTAACCTGATATGAGCCGACCCAACTCAATCCACCATTTGGCTGAACCGGCCGAGGTTTGGCCTGACCGAACTGAACCTGTCCGATTCGGTCAGGGGTTGGTCCGATCGGGTTTTGTCTGACCGAACTGAACCGATTTGGATGAGTCTAGTTCAACCGGATTGATTCGGATCTAAACGGTTCAACCACTCTTGAACTTGATGTGATTACCTCGAAGACAATTCAATTAGATAGTTCAAGTTGGTCTGACCGGTTTGAACCTATGTGGTTCGTCAAATCCGAAACCCAAACATAGCTTGTATAAAAATAACATGCATGTAATGTGATTTGAACCTTCACCACTTGTGTAAATAACAACTATTATTACCACTAAGCTATGACTAACTTATTTGTTAAAAGGGAGTTAGTTTTTTTTGTTTTAAGTACATAAATATAAGATTAATGGGTTTGGGCGGACTGGATTGAGTTAAAGCGGGTTTGGATTGAACTCAACCCATTTAATTTTATATAACTGAATCATTAACGGGTTGAAACTCAACTCAAACCAAGCCCAACCCAACCCGCCCAATTGCCACCACTAGGCTCTGCAAAAAGGATACCAGTTGCTTGGCATCGCTATATATTGCGATCATAACTACCTCTATACCCACCACAAGGGCCCTTATTACATTCTGGGTTGAAACTACCTCTATACCCACCACAAGGGCCCTTAGTTGTGTATCATATGGACTGATGGCCCAGCAAGGTTGTCCTTTATAAATAGTTTGGAGGATGAAAGAGCATCTTGGCTACCTGTGAAAGGATCATAAGAGCCATCAATTTGTAAAGAGGAAAATCCAGTTAGCAGCCAATATTCATTTGCAGGTGCAAGTGGTACTACTACTACATATGACTGATAGGTACTGATAGGAAGGTATGTTCTCAACTTAGCAATGATCGATAAGGTGAAGTTTGGGATTGTTCACGTAGCTTCTTTGGAGATCAATCTTTCCAGGGTTCATGCCAACCTGAGCTGCACACCAGATTGCTCTTAAAAAACAGGGCAGTGAAAAGAGGTAACGAAAGGATTCTACTTCATGTGTACAGAAAACACAACACAAATAGGGAGGGAATCCATTGTTTACATTTGCCTTTCGTAATTAACCCATCCCAGATGTCTTTCCAGATGAAGAGTTGCAATTGGTATGGAATTCTCAATTTCCATTAGCAGTTTCCAGTTAAAGAATGTGTAGTGGATCCAGGACTTGAAAAGAGGTAACCTGAATTCACGGTGTGTTGTCCGAGCTAGTTAGTTTCCACAAAGGAGCATCTGAAATTAGTTCTGGATTGGGTGTAAAGCACACGAGGCATTGAACTTTGATCCAAAACCTGATGTAGTAGTAGTTTCTACACATCCCATGAGCCATTTGGCTCCAGAAGGTCCCTTGCCTTTATATCACAAGGATTAGACTGGTTGAGATGAGGAATCAAAATAAATCTATTGGTTGGGGCTGAATGCCCATCCAATCATCTGATTGCTTTCGATTAATATGGCAACCATTTAGACAAAATTGAAACGCCCATATAATAATTTTCTAGCATGGCTTGGATTGGAATTGGCTTCGCGTCCAGACCACCATGCAAAAAATCTAATCTAGCACATGCAGCTCAGCTGCACTTGGGGCTTGATCAATCCCTGCTTCAAGAACTTTAAAAACTCAAAGGGATAAAAAAGACAAACAGGACTCTTGCTCCCAATCATGGAAATTAAGAATTACAATTACCATCCCCTACTCATTCGAGACCGGAGGAATTTGATGATCCAACTTCTCCAAACCAAATCACAAATATTGAGCGTCAGAGCTACTGCACAGGATCACCAATTTTATTGATCCAAAATTAATCTTCCTTTAAATATCCAAGAGAAATTTATTTTCAACAAGTATCACCATGTGAAGGGGCGGTTGAAATCATGTATATAACCTCCAAAATTGCACAAAGTAGATGAATCGCCAGGTAACATCACGGCTTGTTACGTTACAACGGTCACCCTCCTACTTGGAATGGAACTTCCTGCTCACTGCCTCGTAGCTGGGAACATTAATAACTGCCAAAAAGAGAAAATAGATTCACAACTAAACAATAAACAATTTTAAAAGGAGAGGTAGATTTATCCTAAAATGTGAATTACCATCTCCCCAGGATGCCATTGTCAGAGGTGATGAAACAAGCTTCTGGGCAATGGTGGAAATATCCTTCAAAGTTACTTCATCTACAGCCTTCAAGAAATGCTCTACAGGCTTTCTGCAAAATCCAAAACTTTTCAAGCTCGTTGGGTTTGAAATCTATGTATGCAATTTATAATAAAGCTTTTAGTAGAAGCAACTCCTTAGCACTCTGTTCTGTATCTCCAGGGATTTCAGATCCATCTCATGAGCATTTTTTATCAGTATCCATCTTATGAACATATCAACACATTGGAATTGAATATATTGAATAATGCAAGGTTGTCCATACACAGTATGTTTTTCATTTAGAAAGAACAAAAGGTCAAGAGCGCATTCCTAAGGAAAAATCACTGAACATCTAAACATAAATGTCGTGATTCAGGAAAACCAGTCAAATTGCTCTACCATAGATTAAATTATGAAAGTTCAGAGCAACTCTAGGGTGACAATTGTGAAACTATGGAACGGACTCAGAATAAAGTGGGAGCAACCCCGCTAGACTAGTAAGGCTTTTCTTGCCATATCTGAGAAGATCATAAAACAACTAGTAAAGCTCCACTTGTTCTACAGTAAAGGCATGGAAAATATCTCCAAATGGAATATTTCGACAATATTTCCACCATTTTTACAGCAGACAGTTCTCCACTCCTCTATGGAAACATGAAACAGCTGCAGCATTAAAAAATATTTACATTGACAGAACCTATACACGAGTTTGGCCCATTCCTAGATACTGCAAGTTTTCCTAGTCTACCTCTGGTTTCTGATACATTACTGCAATATATTCCATAGTCTATGTCACACAAAAGCAACAAAACACAAATAATGGAAGCCACCAGACATTGGACAAATATAGAAATCTAGCCTATAAATTAGTTTTGAAAAATAGGTGTTGAGGGTTTCAGTAATACCTCTCTCCATATGTCAAAATTTGTCTCCCTATATCTTCTGATGCAACCATCTGGATCACAAAAACCAAAGTAATAAGCATGAATCAAAATGATGCTGAACAAAAGGCATCCAGAACAATAACACAAAATAGTTTGCATACCCTAGATTCTAGGTTCATAAGAACAGCAGACTTTGTCGATTCTTTGGCACGATCTAGCTGTACCTGATCAACTGAGGAAAAAAACAGAACATCAAAAAGTTTGAAAAATACAGCTATCCAGTTAAACATTACTTAAACAAGAATATTTTTTAACAAGAAACCTTGTCCAGGGGTTGCTACTGAAAGAAGTTCTCTTGCTGCTAAATCAACAGCTTCTGATACGAACTCAGAGCCCTGAGTCAAAAGTAAGGATATCCTCAGTTTATGACAGCATAATAAACAGTAGTAATCAGAAAAATGCAAATAAATCAAAAGATACTAATTTGTTTCACATTCAATAAAAAATAGAACCATACACCAGAAGAGATAAATTGTTAGAGAACTTTCTCTTGAAAATATGAGTTCCAGACCAACATGGCATAAACATACAAATTCAAGCATATTTATATTAAACAAAAATTAGAAAATCCAGTCCATATAAGATTTTTCTTTCTGCCACAAGTCTACAAAATGAATATCCTCATCGTCGAAAAACTTTACATTAAATGACTAGGTTGGCAAATGAATTTGGACACTTTCTTACACATGTTATAAACTTTAGGATGGTAATACGATTAATCGGTTCACTTTCTAGACTGTTTCATTGAAGCATCTGAGATCTAATAATTATATCCGCATGCCTTTTTATGGATATGAAAAATCTCAACCAATTGGTTCCAAATTGTTTTCTTGTATACCTCATTTGATTTTTGCTTCTACCTGATTTAACATCACTTCCTGCT